AGTGAAGAGCCTACACTGGTCTACAGGCTAACATGGTGGCAACACACACGACAAATCCATTGGACTTCCTCCTACCACAAACTCCCCGCAGCCTTTGCTGGCCGATGTAACTGTCAATGCCTCTCCATGGTGTTACTGAGTGGCTTTTGTATTCTGCTCAGGGCTGCTCTGCCATCTCTGTAACTACCTGAGAAACCCACTTGGCCATCCCACAGTATAGGCACATCTAAACACGTAAGAGCAATGCCTGAGCTGCTCTGCCCTTCTATCCTTGGGTTGTCAGTCGTGAGGCCCATCTACACAAGAGCCTACCAGAGCCCCCACGGCCTGTCAGCTTGCGTGTCCACAGCATGGCTAGGTCATAATGCAGCCTGGAATTGGCTTTCATTTCCTATCTATTATTATTATTATTATTCCTATTTCTTCGTCTTTGTCTTCACTGTCTTCTTTCTTCATCCTCCTCCTCCTTTTTGGCTAGTTTCCTTTTCTTTGAGGAACTGCTTTCCAAAATAAGTGATTGCACAGAAACTCAGAGCTCTGAGAAAAAGCCTTTTTATGGGAAGCTAGAAAACAGATGGATGAGAGATAGATCTAAAGAGAAGACAGACAGATTGAAAACTGAGATAGATTGACAGGAGAGAAATCTGCTGTCTACAAATACTGGTCAAATGCTCCGCATGGCGAAAATCCTAACATCCTGCTTTGAAATGATCTATAAGCGATTAAAAAGTTTCATGCTCCTCTACAATGAACACCAAAAAAGTCTAAAGACCTCCAACTCAAGATCCTCATTCAAATGAAAATAGAACCCTGAAGCCAGCTGATGGCCTTAACATCTGGAAGCTGTTCACCTTTCTGCCATGTTAGGTGTTGGCTTGCATTCAGGCATGGTCCCAGCTGTGTGTGTGAGCACAGGCCCTCTCTGCTTATCTGTTGGTTCCTTCCAGTGTCTTTAAACACATAGGAGCCTTTCTAAAGTACTTAGAGTCCTTGGGCTAGACAGTAGTTGAGTGCAAATATTTAGGATATTCTTTCATGATGCTAAAATTAAAATGATTCCCATGACAGCTGCTGAACTACTCTTCTACAGTACACCCTTAACTGGTGGTCTTAGAGCTCAGTGGTTGCCTGGGGGAGTAGAGGCAGCTGGGTAGTGGGACACGGAGGGACAGGTGAGGGGAAGGACAGGACCACACCATCCCTGCCTGGGTCGCTCTTAACTCATCTCGCCAGATTGAGTGCCCACAGGCTGAAAAAGCTGTTTAAGCTACTCTCGAGATGACTCAGGGTTTTAAAGTCATGGTGACTTAGCTCTAATCAAGAGAAAAATTTTAGACTCCTCATGCTTGGAAGTGGGCAGAAAAACCTTTTCTTTTGCCTCTTTCCTTGCATCTGTTGTGGCTTGAAAACATCATGGTGCCATGTTTGTTGTAAGTTTTTCAGGTTCTATCTTACATGACTTCTGATTCAATGATTCACTGTTTCTTATGTACACAGAGACACAAGATCATGTTTTAGTATATATTGAGGGCTTGGGTGGGAGGGATCTTAGGGATCACCTAGTTTATTCCCTTTAAATGGGATGCTTAATGGTAAGTCATAATCATGCCTGCTCAGCCCCAGGCCCACGGCCACGGCCTGGTTGGAAATCATATCTTCTCACTAACCAGTGCGGAAAATCCCACCTGTAGGGATTGGCACCAGTGGAATTAATTTTGAAGTGGGAATTGAAGTGGATTATCAGCTCCAAGTCTATTAGAAAATAAGAACTAATTAAGTACTTCCTCTAACTCAAAAAGGAGTTCCAAGGCAGGGGTGGGGAGTGGGGGGAAGCAGTTAGCTTTTCTTCAGTCCCCACCAATGTGAGCAAGATTGGGACTTTATTATTTTGCAGATCCAACTCAGGAGAAAGAATTATGAGCTGGAGATCTACTACCCCATAAAGAAGTCTTGATCAATAACTCCACACCACCCAACTTGGACAGCGGAAGGATGGAGGTCCTTGGTCCCTGGGCATCAGTGTACTTCACTAAGCCCAGGGACTCACTCCAGGGTACTTGACTGCTTGGTCAATCACAATTATTCTCAAACTTCATTTGGTGTGATTCTCTTCTATTGTGAGGGAATGCAATGAGTAAGAATATTAGCAGGAGTGACTTGAAGTTTTGTGACTGACAGCTCCTTTGGTTCTTTTGATTTTGTTCCCTGTCTGGTTTTGCGTTCTGTTTCTCAGAGGCAAGTATGACACTCCTCAGTAACCATTTCCTCCCCCTTCCTCCCCAAGGGCTAAAGGCACAGGGGGTCCCATTCCTGTTTGGTTCACTGAGCATGTGTCTTCTCCCTCATTCCCAGGGCTACAGCTCAGTTAAGTGGTCAGGCATTAGTGGTTATTGACCACAAGACAAACCATCAGCTACAGCCACATTACTGAAAACACAGCAGCCTTGAGTCTTAGCATAAAGTTGGAAGAAAGATCCATGATCTTGGACTTGAATTCATTTCAGGGCCAAATGCCAGGCTTGAGGATGGCCAGGCCCATCAGTAAAGACATACTTGTTCTCTTTGGTCATGAATGGCGCTGTCCTCAGATCATTCCTCAAAGTCCCTGGAAGCCCAGTATGGGAGACACCATTTCCACAGAGATGATTATTTTCTGTATATTGCTGGTTTTCTCAGTAATAGACAACAGGTAAGGTAGCTATGAAATCTAAAGGAAAAAAAAATCTACACATTGAGAAGCCACCTGTGCATACTGTAGTTCCTAGCAAAAAGCAAAGAAATCTGGTTTAGTATTTTCAATGAGAAGTGATCATTGCAAAACAAAATACTTGAATCAGAAATGTTTTAACCACCTATAATAATTATTGAATAAAAAATGAGGGAGGAAATAGGATTTGATAAGGGACTGGTCACTTGTAAAGTGGTTTCTACGTTCTCTCTTTTTTAAAGTAAACTTGATCACTTTAAATGTTGGACGGAAGCAGCTCACAATTTCCTGAAATAAGCAAAGGACATTATATTTATAAGCATGAGAGTTGTGAGGCTGGCCAAATACTCTCATCTGCTGCTTTATATATTTTTATCAATCACAGATCCCCAGGAGATGATAGAACTTAAAATGGATTAAAAATATAATTTAACTTATCAGTGTGTTTTTCATCTCTTTCCTGCTTCTCACTTTCTTTCTCTGGTGCCTTCCCTTGACTAGCACACTCTTCCTCTTTGCTTGGGAGAAGGCTCTTATTTCACTTGCAAATGTATCATTTCTGTCTTATTAAAATGTCCTAGCTGCCAAACTTTTATTAAAGAAATAGAACTATTCATCTGTTTTTTCCCCCTCCCTTTGGCTGTGGGGTCCACAGCACAATATTCGGCTGGAGAGGGAAAAGCTGCTGAACTCTCTGACGTGCTGTTAGATAATCTCAGAGGAGCTAGCTTCCAGAGCCCTGTGTGATGGATAAGTGCTTAACATTATTGGACACAAATAATCTACACAGTAACTGCATTATGACCACTGATGTTCAAAACCTGGAGTGGATATTTCCAAAACCTAACTCTAAAATACATTGAAAAGAAAAAAAAAAAAACAACAACCCTAAAACAAAAACAAAATACAAAATTTACCAAGAAAGACAAAACTCAGAATTAGTCAAGGATGGCAACCAAGAAAGGAAAAGAAACAAAGATGTATAGCCAACCTTTTCTTTTTTTAATTAGAGTATATTATACTTTCAAACTGGATACACTAGAAATTGGCAATGCAACATAAGATGCAAAGGAATATACCAGTTACTGTCAAAATGACCCTGTACAGCCTTGTAATGCAAAAAGCTTTATACAATACAAATTTTCAGTAATGTACACAACCTTGACAGTACGATCATCTGAACATAATATGAGAAGTTAAAAAAAATATAGAAGAAAGAAAGTGCCGAGAGCCCTAACTGCATTACTATATGGAAAAATAAGCTAGCTTCCATGGGAAAAAGGCATAGTGAAAACAATCCAAGTTAGTTTGGTAGGTGAATTTCTCTAAGATGTTAGTGTTTTACACGGAAAGGATAGCTACCGACCACATCCTTCCCTGAGTAGCAAACAGCAAACCAAATTCAGGGGGTACATATCCAAGTGGAGTCTGAAAAATGCTGTTGAGGTTTTTTTTCCTTTATTAATAACAATAATATAAAAAAGTCAAACAAACTCCAAACACACCTTTTTCTCACTCAGAAAACTTTTTATAATTTACCAGAAAGATTGATGACTCCAAAGTGCTATAAAAGTTGCCCAATTATATTAAGCATTACTAAGTCATTCAAATACAAGTTCAGGGGTGAGCAGAGAAATGCATGGCATTTGAGCAGTAAACGTGTTTTTCCTTCACCACCTCCTCCCCAGTTTCCTACTGGGGCCCTCTTATTGCACAAGTGGCATGCTATAAAACCCCAAGTCCTCCATGGCAGGGCTACCCTTTCAGGTTTTTAACCTGTTGGTGCTTAAATGCGAATCACCTCTTCCTGCCAACCTCGGTGGGATCAGCATGGTCCCCTTTCCTGTCATCACTGAACTTGCTGTTTTGAAAACATCATTAGCCAAGTGGCACATTCTCCATTATATGGGGACAGACATGAATTAAAAAAAAAGAAAAAAAAAAAAGACAGCCCACCCATAAGCCCAATATTCTTGGAGTGTGTTGTCTGTAAGTGTCAATAGTGTCTTCTACTGAGACACTGGCATGGTGAGTTGAAGTGTTTCAAACAAGGCCAAGAGCAAAGGTCTCTGCTGGAGAATGACTGAAGGGTTTGGGAGCTTCCTGCCCTAGCTGGTTGGTCTCCCTGCCCTCATGGGCATCTCTGTAGTGTAAACTGGCTTGCCAGGGCATGAAGCAGATTCCCCATCCGTGACTGGATGGCTGCCGATGGGAAGTGTAGCACATCTGCTAGTTCTGGGGGTGAAGTTGGACACGCAGGGAGTCGGGAGACCACGTGTGGTCAGATATACAGTCTTCCAGCTCTCTGTAGATCCATACTAATTTCCAGAGGTCTTTCAGTGAAGCAAGCTGACTAGAGGAAGAAAATGAAGGGTGCTTTTATTTCTCCTGGCGAAATATGGGAAAAGAAAATCCCAACTCAAAGGTAAAACATAGTGGGAAAACAACACAGTAAAAAAACAAAACAAAAACAGAAACAATAAAACCCACATTCCTCCTGCACACCAGCTCTTCAACAGATAAATAATGTTTATATTCCAAATTTCCCATTATTATACAAAGCACATTTCTTCCTGCTCTTCAGCTTGTTTCATTCTGGAAATTCTGTTGTCTTAAAAATGCAAGCAATGAATATTTTGCCAAGATGTTTTTTCCTGTTTTGTGTTTTAAATCATCCATTTTTAAGATGAGCAAAGGGCTATGCGACCGACCTGCACCTGCTTCCTGCTGCAATAAAGTGCTGGACAGAAATTTGCCATTTTAATGACCACAAAATGCTTTAAATAAGTATAAAGTTAGCCTCCTAGCAGGCTACATCTACCTAGCAGGCGTTAACAAAATGGAATACAGAATTACTAATACATGAAGGGTATCTCCATCACCAGAGGCTCTGCGAACAAAATGGACACTTCTCGGGGGCATAAAACTGAACCATAGGACTAAACAGCACCTTTTAGTTGGGTCCTTATGTGTCAAAGAGGTTGTGGCTAAAATTTCAAACATACAGTCTACTCATCCTGTTAAAAAAAAAAATAACAAAACCAAAAAAAAACAAAAAACCCAAAACAATTTTTTTCTTCTGATGAGAAACAAAAACTAGTGCAAGACCAAAGCACTGTGCAAAACTGCCATTTCTTTTTTTTTTTTTTTATTTAGTCTGAGCATTTATACCCAGAATTGATCCAAACCCTTTATTTTTTAATCTCCTTGGCTGGATTTCTCAACCATAAAAAATTTCCACTCATACAATTTTTCTTTCCTGCAAACAAATGGTAACCACTGACAATGCATCACATATATATATAATAGGCATATTATATATATATATGAATTTGCCCTTAAAAATGATGTGTTGTGTGTGTGTGTGCACCGTGTGTTCATCTCAGCGTAGGCACACCTACAAAACACTTCCGTGTTGTGACGTGAGCTGCAGGGCGGCGTCGTGGCATGCAGAGCCGTCACGTGATCCCTCGCACCTTAATCACCAGCGATCTGTCTGGGGGCCCCTCCCGGGTGGGACATCCCAAGCAGCTCTGCGCATGTCCATCATTCTTTCACTCAGACACCAGGCTCTACCAACTCTGTAACCAGAAAAATAAGAGTGGGGGGGGGGGGACGGTGACGGAGGAGCGTGGGGGAGCCTGTGGCGGAGCCAGGAGAGAGAGCGCAACAGCACGCCGTGGCGCGGGCCACACACGGACGCCCTGCTTCACCCCACGCCATGCCGCACGCCTGGACCGGTGCCGCACGCGCCTGCGCACGCGCGGACCGGTGCCGCACGCGCCTGCGCACGAGTGGTCCTGTGCCGGTCACTAGTGAGGACGCCGCTGTCTTTGGGGCTTCACCATGCAAGACTCTTCCCAGAGTGCGGGGCGGGCATGCCTCTGCGGGTCCCCTCCAAGACCGGACGAAGCAGCTTTCGGGGCATCACAGTACACGGGGTCCCCCTGACACCCCGGGCCCGCGGCCGAGACACGGCGGGCCGGGCGGGGCGCGGGTCTGCCTCCCCGTCTCTGCGGCGCTGCCCTCACACCGTCTCCGCTCGCTCTCGGAGCCCCAGGTAGGCGAGGAAGGAGTGTTTCGGGGAGGGGAGGCGGGGGGGCGCAGTCTGAGGCCGGGGAGGGTGGAATGTGACGTCCAAGTGGCTCTTGGGGTACAGCATGGTCAAGGGAATGAGATGGGCGAAGTCCGAGTTCCGGTACTTGTCCAGGCGCACGGGGGCGCCGTCGAAGGCCAGGGCCTCGAGCGCCAGGTTGGGCTGGGAGCCGCCGCCGTGCGCATGCGCGGCGGTGAGCGCCACGGTCTGCAGCGCCTGCGAGGCGGACATGACGGACAGCGGGGACAGCAGGCCGCGGGCGCTGCCCACCACCAGCAGCGGGGCCCCGGGGGCGCGCGCCGCGGCCGCGGCCGCTGGCTCCCGCGGGGCGGCGCCCGGCCCCTGGCGGGCCTGGTCCGCGGCGGCGCTGGCGGCGGCGTCGTCCCCGCCCTGGTGCTTCTTCACGTGGCGGCTGAAGACGAAGGGGTGGGTGGTCTTGAACAGGCACTGGGCGCAGCTGAAGGTCTGGCGGGGCGCGTGCTTGAGCTTCTTGTGCAGGTTGAGATTGTCCTTGCGCTTGCAGCTGTAGGCGCACTGGTCGCAGTGGAAGGGCCGCTCGCCCGTGTGCACGCGCACGTGCTCGATCAGCTTGTTGGCCGTCTTGGACAGGTAGCCGCACTGGTCGCACTTGTAGTGGTTGCCCAGGCGGTGCTCGCGCGTGTGCGTCTCCAGCTCCAGCTGGTTGGCCTTCACCGTCTGGCAGATGCGGCACTTGTACTCCATCTTGTAGTGGGTCTTGAGGTGGCACTCCATGGCAGCGGGGCGGTTGGTGGAATAAATGCAGAATGGGCACCTGTGGGGGAGGGGAGGGGTGGGGGAGGGCGGGGAGGAAAGCAAGGCGAGGGGGGGCTCAGCGGCGGCCGGGGGCTGGGCGGTGCCCCTGCAGCTCCCCCTCCTCTGCCCTGGCCCACCCTCCCCTCTCCGCGCCCGAGGCCTGGCCTACCCTAAGCCCAGCCCCGGCCCGGCCACCCTTTGGGCGGTGCACACGGCCCTGTCCGGCTCTCCCTGCGGACAGGGCTCACGGGAGCTCCCCTCCCCCGTCCCCCCCCCACTCCCCGCCAGTGCTCGCGAGGGGAGCAGAGACTTGGGAGGAGGAGCCAGCTGGACTCCCCCTCCGGCCCTCCCCACTCCCCCCTGCGCCTGGGCCGAGGTCTGAACCTCCGCCCCTCCCCTCTCCACCGGAGCAACACAAAGAATCGACTTTTCATGCACCACACCAAGCACACGCAGAAAGACTGAGAGGTGGTAAAGAACAGCTGGGGGGAGCGCTGCCTCCAGCAGACAGTCCCAGGGTCAGAGTCGTGCTTATTAAGGGGCGGTTAGGAGGAGAAGGCCTGTGTGTGTGTGTCCCTGTGCGTGCATACGTGTGTGCTGTGTGTGCACGGGTGTGCGCGTGGCTCTCCGTCGGGAAAGGAGGGCCAGGCCCAGGGAGGAGGGGAGCCTCGAGGCAGCCCCCCTGCTTCTCTACCCGAGAGGAGACGCAGTCAGCGCGTGCGTAGTGCGTGGTGGGGCTGGACGGCGCGCGCGCGGGGCGGGCGCCGGGGACGGCCTGCCAGCCCGGGGAAGCCCTCGGGGGCGCGCGGACTCGCCAGCCGAGCGGTCCGCTCCAGGCGTGGGGTGGTGGTGGTGGGAGATTCGGGAAGGGTGAGTTTGCATTTCCAGCTCCATCACCACCGCACCGGGCTCGGCGGCTCCCCTCGGACAGAGCCCGGACTCCTCCCCTGTGGCTCGGGAAACGCAGGTCCCCAGCCCGCCCAAGCTGCCCAGAGCGGGCAGCCGGAGGAAGGATCACTATGGAGCGTCTGCAGACGCCAGAGCGGCTGCCTCGGCCCTGCCCTCGGCTGGCTCCTGACGGGGAGGGGACTGTCCTCAGAGGGTTTGGAGAGGTGATCAGCAGAGCCCAACACAACCCGGTGCACCGTGCACTGCCTCCTCAGCGCCAAGCTCGCCGTTAGCCCCTGAACCTCAGCTCACAGAAGAGTGCACACAAGAGAAATATAAAGCCCATTCCCAGGTCAGGTGCACACACAACCCCTACGCCAAGCTGGGCCTTACCTAGAGGAGTCTGAAACTCACCACTGTCCTGAGCTACGGCAAAAGAAAAATAATAGTATAATCTTATTTGATCTGCATTATGAACAGGATATAGAGTTTACAAGCAGTTCCATCACAGAAAAGCAATCGAGACATCGGCGGTCTGTTTCACGTTAAGGATATTTCTGTGACCCAGAGCTCAAATCTTTCCTCTCGCTGCTCAAGCCAAGTGCTGTGTTCTCCGTGCTCCCATGAATTTATCTTAAAGACATTGTCTCAGGCAAATTAATTCTGTCTTATGGCAAAGGAAACAGAACCAAGACTCGCTGCATAGCCAGAGGGCACTAGCAATTTGTTTTTCAAAGTACTTTGTACTTGGTCATCCTAGAGCATACACGGGGCACGGCCAGCACTGCACGGGAAGTGGTCTCATTCTGACAAAGCATCACTGATGGTGCATTCTCCCCAGCGGCTCGTGGTCCCCAGGGGGGAAAGGCGACTGGCAAAGCCACAAATGGCATGGCCCGGAAAGTAATGGGCGTGGCCGGGAAGGCTCCCGGGAAGGCAATGACACTAGTCCATCCAGAAAAAGCAAAAAAACAAAAAAACAGGGTTCTTCTTAAAAAAATAATATGAGGACACAGATATTTATAAAGGGACATTGGGAACAAAGCAAATCAAATTCTCATAAGTTCTTGCTAGGCACTTACTCTCCACTGATTGATTGGAGTATAGCCACCCTCCCTCCTTCCCCCCACCATGCCCTGTCCCCCTTCCCACTCCCAAGAGGGAGCTGAAATGGGATCCACAGTGGGTGCTGGGCCTATTCTTCTGTTTGTGAGAAGACTGCCTGCAGCCAACCCTGCACTCCCCCCCATGCTTGACTTCAGGGTCTTCCTTCCTTACCCACGGGCTAGGGTGGGGTTGGGGGTGGGTGTGGGGGGGGGGTTACCCTACTTCTGGAAGGTTATGAATTTCAATGATGAAAATATAAAAAAACAACAAAACCAAGTTCTTCCCCCTTGTATGAAGCAAAACACATTTTTTTTATTCTTTTACCTCTGTAACATTTCAGCTAAAAGTTAATAATTATGCCTTGGTATTGTGTCTTTCCGTGTCCACCTGTGTGTCCTTTCTCTTCCCTGAACCCTAAGTGCCTTGTGAACAGAGGGTTTTTGACTGCAGAACTGCTGGGAAGATTCAATCCGAGTAGTGCGGAGACATAAATTTCCTGAGGGTGGAAATTATATTTTATTCCTCGTGTGCCCTTTAGCACCTATTATCAAGCTAGACACATAGTATGTTTGATAATAACTGACTGGTCTCATGTGAGGCCAGAGGGCTGCTTGCAAATATTGGTTAAGGATGACATTCTTGGTCTAGCTAGATCTTTCCGCAAAGGCAGGAAGCTACGAAGCCCGTGATGTTTGCATGTACACCGTGGCCTCTTGCCTGGTCAGCCTGGTAGGTTCCAATTTGGGGAGTGTGGTGAGGTGGTTGTGATGCTCACATAACTGTTAATTATATGGCAGGTTGTCATTGGGGAAAAAAAAAACACATGTGAAGCTGCAGTGAGGGGGTAAAGATGGATGCCTAACCCAAGTCTACTCCCATCAAGCCTGAACTAAACTTGAACAGTGGAGGAGGGATGAGCGTAGTCTTGTATGCTATTCTGATCTATGTCTCCTCCTTGGCTTGAACCCTAAGGTACAGTGTCACATGGCTTCTCCTGCTCATATCTGCTGACCTCCCCTGGAAGACAGGCTTGCCTCAATCCAGATAATGGTAGTGGAAGTTCCTGACTCACTCCCCTCAGACCAACCTCCCCCTTCTCCAGGATCCCCAAATACTTCAAGGGAGAGGTGGGGCAGGGGCAGGGGCAGGGGCAGGGGGTTTTAATAACAACGCAGTAAAAGGTTCTGTACTTGCTTTCCTTACTTGAGCCCACCAGTGGGGACAGTGTGGCATTTCTTATGTTCCAACAGCTGCTCAGGGGTCTTCATGAACTTGTGGCACACGTCACACTCAAACATCCGGGTGATGAGGTGTATCTGAAGATGGCGCTCAAACATATTCTTCGTCTTGCAGACAAAGTTGCAAAAAACGCATTCGAACCCTGAAAGGACCGAAGCGGGGTGTAGAGGTGCGTGGGGGTAGGGGGACAGGAAAGGTGAGCCTAAGTTCCCTCAAGTCCCTGGCCCCTCTGGACACTAGGAATTAAAACATACATTGTCACCCGCCCATCCTTCCACCCTGTATTTGGATGTAAATCAAGCTGAAATAAAATGCAAATTTCTACTAGTGCACATTACCCTATAACCTGATCCTAACATCTACTTTCTGGCATGGCTCCACTCCAGGGCTTCCTCTCAAGACCGGGTCATCCAAGAGTGGGCAGGACTAAGCAGGCCATGTCTGGCTCCTCCCTTACCTTTCTCTGGCTTTTCCTCACTATTCAGTGGGGGTTGGCTCCCAGGCACAACAGAGATGACCAGCAAGTTGTTCCCACCCTTGTTTTTCTGGGAGCCATCGGAGTCGTCTTTGCTGTTGGCGGAATCACTCAGCGCTGAGAGGGAAGACGAGGAAGGGCTGTTTGATTCGCTGGGGGTCTTCCTGTCTTCCCCTGAGAAACGACAACCACCATGCCTGTTAGTTGCTATCAGAATGACAGTAGTGGGGGGGGGGTGAGGGGAGGCTGGGAAGGGATGGGAAGGGGAAACAAAGGAGGAGGCTACAATGCTTGATAAGAAATATACTCACTATCTTGCCCATGTAATTGTAACCCCTCTGTACAGTATTTTCACAATAAAAAAATAAAAAAAAAATAAAACAAAGACCAAAATGACAGCAGTTGAGGATGGGGACTGGGTCTTGAGTGCATCACTATTCCAGAGGCACTGTCCAATGCTGACAGCTCTCTGAGTGCCCACTGGGGATGGGCCTCAGGTTCTAGTGAACCTGCATAGAGGGCATGGGTGATACTTAGGGCCAAGGTCAGGTATTCGCCCATTTAACAAGGGTTTACTGAGGTCTTAAAGTATTTAAAATGCAATGGCAACAATAGGTCAGCTGTACAGAACATGTCCAGGAACTATGCTATGCTTCAAATTTTCTGTCTCATTTCATCTTCTCAAAAATCCTAGGAGTGGGGGTGGCTTAGGGCTCATGCTTAGTATGGCTGTGGCCTAGAAAGCAATCTTCAGTACCAGAATATCTCCTATGTACACATAGGTACCACAGGAGGGTTCTTAACTTTGCAGATTGAGGGAATAGAGGCACAGAGGGGTAAACCTAGCCTAGGTCACATGGCTATTCAATGTGCAGAAGAGGATGGAGTAAGTATGACTCAGTATCCATGTTCATCAAGCACCTGAGATTTTCCCTCAAAGCCAACCATATACAACAGGCCATTAAAATCCAGATCTCACTTTGCGATCGAAACAAAACGAATAGTTAAAAGTATATCAAACAATAGTGTGTACTACATTGGATACAATGCTGAAGAGTGGCCCCTGAGAGACTAGATACCAGAGGCAAGCCCTTGGCTATGAAGCTTCCTGTCCTGAGAAACTTACATTCCAGGTTGCAGGGAACAAAGAGGAGAGGGGACTTCCTGACTAGAGGAGAAAGAGCTGAGAATCGGGGGAGACCAACAAGCTGACATTGAAGATAAAGGAGTAAGAGCAGCTAGCAGCACAAAGAAGGCCTGAAAACAGAAGGTCCTCCTGGAGTCCTCAGAAGAGCATGCATCAGAGCAATGTGTGCATACGATTAAAACAAATAAAAATAAAAAACAGTGAGGACAGTGCCTGTTGCTCACATAGGGTTGGACAGAGGACCTGTTTCTGTTAAGCAGGTCAGAAAATACATAGCTCACAGGGCATTAGGTAGAAAACTGAGGAATAGCTTTCAGTAATGGCTAATAATTAGCCCTAGATAGATCAATGCCTGATGATCCAGATCTGCTTAGCAAGGCATAAAAGAAAGACCCCAAAAGGATCAAAATTTCTATGTAATTAACTGTATCCTAGAAAAAGGTCAATAATACTTATAGGAATATCAGGTACAAAACACCCAACATGGAAATGATTCCTTGTATTGGAACGAAGATTATCAGGCATGCAAAGAAACAACACAACTCAAATTAGGAAGAAGAAAAAAAAAATCAACCAATCAAAACTGACCTATCATTGGCACAATTACTAAAACCTGTGAAAGGGCATTATAAATTCAAAGAATTAAGAAGAGATATGGAGGACATCATTTTCTTCAGAAGAAAATCACAATGTTAGGATTGAAAAATCACACTGATGGGCTGAGCAGATTAGACACAGTTGAAGAAAAGACTAGTGAACCCAAAGATAAGTTACAGGAAAGATCTGAAAGAAAACAAAACAATTCCTCCAAATGAACAGAGTACCTTTGAATGGGTCAGTGATTCAGGAAGCTTAATACAAGTTTAAATGGAACCTCTCATGTGGTAAACAGGGTATAATAAAACACTTGAAATGACAAAGACATTCTAAATTTGAGGGAAAAAAAACAATAGCTCCAAGATCTAAGGAGCTCAATAAACCCCAATCATAAAAAAACAAAGAACTCTGTACCAAATGATAATTATCATTAAATTGCTCAAAAATAGTTAAAAAAAAAAAGTCCTTGAGCTGGGTGTGGTAGTGTACACCTGCAATCCCAGTACTCTGAAGCTGAGGCAGGAGAAGGGAGAGTTTGAGGTCAGCCTTCACTACATAGTAAGGTTCATCAGAAAACAACAAACAACAATACCCCAGAAGACGAAGAGTGAACAAATGCAGCAGTGGAACTCACTAAAACTATGTAAGTTGTAGGTAAGGGTGGGAGGGAAACACTGACCGAGAGCAAGGGAAGGGTGACGTCCAGAAAGCAATGTACTTTTCACCTGACTTATGTAACGGCAACCCTTCTGTATGCTGCCTTTATAATAACTAAAAATAAATGAAAATAAACTCAGAAAGACAAACACAAAATAAAAAACTAAAAGGGGAAAAAAAGTCCTAAAAGCAAGCAAAGATACAAAGCTATGTTATATGTGGAAGAACAAAAAGTAAGGAAGACAGCAGATTCCTCATTAGGAACAATGCAAGGGAGAAGACGGTGGGACACCATTTGTAAAGAACGAAAAGCTTGTCAACTTGAAGTTCCAAACATATTCCCAAGATGAAGGCACTCTTCAAAGAGGTGGCATTAAAAAATAAGAAAGAACTAGTCACCAGAAGACTTGCATTCAAAGAAACGTTGAAAATAAGTCCTTGAGGCAGAAGCAAAATGACAACAACTAAACGAGTCTACACAACAGAATGAAATAGTAAGTTCGTGTTTTTTCTTACTGAAATGTCTCTAGAGGGTAATAAAAGTAATTTTTAAAGCAAAAATAACACCAATGCATTGTAAGCTTCATAGTAAATGCAATAAGCTGAAACTTGACCACAATAACATGAAGGCTAATGTGAGAAATGGAAGCTTACTATGGTTGAGTTCTGATTGGTGTGTGAAGTGGTAGAACCCCTTGAGGCTACATGGGAAAAATTATAAATGGACATTATAGGGAGCTGAGTATGAAGCCTATAATATCAGCAACTTGGGCAGGAGAAATTGGGAGATTATGGTTTGAGGCCAAGCAGGGAAAAAAGTTCAAGCAATTCCATCTAAACCAAAGGCTAGGCTATTATCCCAGATAGGCTGGGTGTGGTGGGCACAGGAACAGGCTCAGCCTGGCTCTAGCACAGAAGGAGACCCTATTTTGAAAATATCCAGTGCAAAAGGAGCTGGAGGCATGGCTCAAATAGTAGAGTGCTTAGCAGGTATGAGGCCCTGGGTTCAATCACTAGTACCACCCAAACAAGCAAAAACCTGTATAATATAAATGCCAAAATAACTGGAGAGTTAAACTGGCCTAGGGAAATTGGAATTGTTAAGATTTCAATTCTCCTCACAGTTTTATAGATTCAGTACAAGTCCACAGTTTAGAGTACGGCAGAAAACATGGAAGACTGCTTTCTGGTTCCCTCCTTACCAGTCCATTAAACAACGAAGTGACTATAAATTCTGGGACCCTGTTCTATTAGATTAAAAATAAAATATAAGTTTATGTCTAGGCATAAATGTAAGAAAAAAAACTGCAATGGTGGATTATGACTAGAATCTAAAGTTATTAGTGTGATGATCATTTTATTTGGTCTTTAAAATTTTCTGGGCTAGCCATATATTACTTATGCAATTAAAGAAAGTATTTAAAAAGAAAGTGGGGCCAGGGATATAGCTCAGTGATAAGCATGTGCTTAGAAAGGCCTTGGGGGAGAGGAGGGGAAGGAGGAAGAGAGAAAGAGAGGAAAGGGGAAAGGGAGAGAGGGAAGGGGAGAGTAGAGAGGGAGAGAATCCTATTCCTGTGAGAATTATACTTAGGGTTGACTGCAGACAACTCATATTTCAGTTCACAATGTTTTAAAAAATCTCATTCCTATCAGAACTAGACATGACTCCTAGACAGGCAGTGTGTGACTTGAGTCACTGACCACGAGAAAAGATGGTATGCCTTCAGAATACACAGCCTTCCCTTGGCACAGTGAAGCTTTGTGAAAGCTACTACCACCATTGCCAGTCCCTTGTCTAAACATTTAACCAGCCAAGCCACATTTTGTACACAAATAGAAGGGGTCCCTTGTTTGCTGGTATTACTCTTCCAAATCCATCTTCTAAGCCTGAGCTTTTGAACAGCTTGTTATAGGAGATTCTTCACATTTTTGGGATTAAGTTCATCTTACTACTATTAAACAAAGATTTAAATGTCCTGAGGCTTAAGAGAAGACATTGAGAAGAGTTGCCTAAATTGATAAATTTATGAAGATTCACGATGCCACATCAATCACTCTGATATAGCTTAGGAGTATGACCCAACTTGCTTGATTTGCCAACTCCCAGTTCAAACAGCCTCCCTCGCTTTCAGTTCTCATCCGCTTCTGCAGTGATTGCAGGGTGCCAGGGCTACCTAAATCCAAGGTATCACAGGATCCTTGGAGAAGGACACCAGTGCACTTAGGTAGCCAGCTGAAGTCTTCCTACCACCCAGGACCTGGGTTGAACTGAGGGTCTCATGCTTGCTGGGCAAATGCTCTATCACTTGAGCCATGTCCTTTTTGCCTTTTGGATAGGATGTCCCCTTCATAACTCCAAACGAGGCACTTGACTGTGTCAGTAATCACGTCTGTAAAGTGGGGATGATAGTAGCATTTGTCTCATCTTGTTCTTCTGAGAGTTGGAGCTGAGTTTTTATACACAAAGCAGGAAAAGCAATGTCTAGTTGCATTATGACATTACAGAAGAGATTAAGCCCTATCATCCTAATATAAAGCTTAATACATATATATATATATATAAATATATATGCCATTCATAAAATATAATGACATACTGTTTCCTATGTTGTTTTACATGCAGACAGTGCTCAAAAATTCATGAAAATATTTATGAATTAATCATAATCCCTGTGTCGTGTTCCTACACTACAATGCTATTTTCATGGAACCTGACGTACAACCCAGAGCTAGAACCCAAGTGTGTGTTTCTCCATACCAAGTAACTTTGTCCACACAGATTACATAAAGAAGTCAACTGGACTAAGCAAGGCCTGAGGAGTGTGAGTTATCTTCCTATTCATCAAGCACAGGTATGTAGGGGAGCTTGGCCACATACATTACACCTACTCAGTGAGCGAACATTTGTTCCTCACACTGTACAGACGAGGCACTGGATAAGCAATGACATAAGACAGGCTCCCCATTCTAGGTCTATGTATTGTAATATATTGCTTTATATAATATTTTTACCTCAATACAGCTCATTCATGTACAGGTTTAAGTGGTAGATTCTGTGTTATTCAAACACCTCAAAACAGTACTAAACATAGGAAACTTCCACTGTGAAACTATTAATTTGGATACAGTGGTCAGCAAACTGTAGCCCCATGCCCAGACAAGCTTCGTTTTTATAAATGAAGTTTTAGGCCACACTTGTTTCCAAGTACCAATGGCAAAGCTGAGTCATAATGACAGAAGCTGTATGATACCAAAGCCCAAAGCATTGACTTCTGGCCCTATCTATACAGGATGCTAGGCATTCACACACAGTGAGACCAGAGGAGGACGCTCTCAGAAGAACGCAAAGGCCCACAGCCTATGTGCATCTGATCACGCAAAATAATATTTATTGAAATGAACTCTGGGAAATGGAAACAAGAGGGTTTTTTTCCTTTGTTGTTTGTGTTTTTTCTTCTTGTCTTATTTGTCCATTGAAGGGCACAAAAAATGGAGGGACAAAGGGTGAACAAATGCAGCAATGATACTCATGAACTATATAATAAACTATACAACTTGCGATGGGAGGGAAAAACTGGGAGAAAGCAAGGGAAGGGGTGACATTGTCCAAAAAGAAATGCGCTCTTTACCTGGCTTATGTAACTGTAATCCCTCTGTACATCACCTTACACCTTGTATCACCTTAAATTTTAAAAAATATAAAAAGTCTGTAGGCTTGTAAAAATGTTTTCCATCTTATTCGAATGGTCATAGCATTAAGAGTTTCTACTGAATCACAAAAGAAACTCTTTAATGCGTGTCACTCTTGGCTTTCAGAACTAACAAATATTTGTCGCTGTCCATGAAGTCTCACTCAGAGGGGAGTGAGACACTGGCAGTGTGCCCTAGCTAATTAGGAAGAGAGGTCACAGAAGTTAGTTGTAAACATGTAGTTTCCATTGGTGAAAATGGTGCTAACTCCAGCTTCTTTCTAGACATTTCTATGGCTTCTTAAGATAGGATGTTAGGGAGAAGGCTGTGCAATGGGATGGGACAAAAAGTCAGGAATATTTGGGGTGAACAGGGCTAGAAAACTGAGGATTTTAACAGAACAGAGGGGGAAGGAGAGAGAGACAGTGAGAGAGAGGGAGGGAGGGGGGACAGGGAGGGAGAGAGAGTGAAAACAAGGCAGGCGAGGAAGGCCGGCCTTTCCCTCCGTTAGCCACTTCAGAAATGCTGAATTTAATTGCCTTCAATCTGGGTTTCCCAGCTCACCTACTGCGCATGACGCTAATGTGGTTACAGTCAGACAACCTACTGTAAAAATGGCACCTTCTCACTCAGCATAACGACTCTCTGCAGACCCCCAAGTCATAGCTGCTCAATTTACGGACAGAAACAGCCTTTATTGACGTTGGCACCAATGAGCTCAGGTGGTCGGAGATGCACAGAAATCCTTCTTGGCCGTGCACCTCGTCAGCACTACTGTCATGGAAATTTCCCCTCCCAGATTCTTCTAGAGCTGGCAATGGAAGGGGCTGACCCAACACCCAGGGCTGGCAGTGAGCAACATCAGCTCTTAATGTGTAAGCACCACAAATGTGGCGTGAAGTGGGGGTCATCCTCACTCTCACTTAACAACTCCAGGCCTGTGTCATTTGTACCCCAGCTTGCACAGTGAAGTCAAAATGTGAACATCATTAAATAGAAGAAGTTAACCAGGATGGCACGAGGCTCGAGCAGAAGGCAAGTGCTGGCCAAGTCTAGATTCTTTTCTTCTGCCTCTGGACAGAGCTGCCGTGCATCATCACGGAGAGCATCGGGACCACAGGTTCCAGAGAAGGAAACAGAGCCTGTGGAATTAGGTGTGCAGTACCCCAGCACAGCACAGCACAGCAGAAAGGTTCAAGGCTCTGGCCATGCATTTTGTGGGGCTGGCTATCTGAGCAGTGAGCAGGCTATGGCACCAAATCTATTACACCCTGTTTGTTCTGACCACTTTCAGTCTAGCTTCTGTTTCTCCATGTGTGATCACTACAGCATTCATCTCAGAGGGCTGCTGAGCCTGTGAAGACACAAGCCCCAAGCAGAGAAAGAAGTTAGCAGCGGTTATGCATGCTGGTGAGAAAAGGAAGCAGACAAGGACCAGGCCTGCAGCTCGGCTGCGCTCTCAACAGCACACTTGGATTCAGGTCAGCGGGGCCCACACTAAGCCAGGTCACGGTACTGTGACTCCAGAACAGGAGGCTCGGTCATGGGCTCAAGGAAAGCCCTCCCTTCTATGGAAGGACATGTCAAGGTCTTTCTTATGGTAGTGACAAAACTTTTGCCAAGTGGTTGACTTCCAATGGTGCAGGAGATGGAGAAGGTTTGGTCCAGTGGTCCAAGCCTGTAATCCCAGCTACTTCAGAAGCAGAGGGTGATTTGAGACCAGTCTGGGCATCAAGTTTTCAGAGATGTCATCTCCACCAATGGCTGGATGTGGTGGCCCAGGCCCAGGGAAAGCACAAGGAGGAGGATCACAGGCCTGGACCAGACCAGGCAGCCAATGAGACCTTACCTCATGCAATGCACACTAGCCAGTGCCAAAAGGGTCTAGAGACACGGCTTTCAGAGGAGAGCACCCACCTTGCAAACACAAGGCCCCGAGTCAGAGCCTCAGAACTGAAAGGGGAAAAAGAAAAGTCCAACAGGTACAGAACGGGGGTCACCTGTGTGCTTGGAGCCAATGTGGGCCTTGATGTCTGCCTCCTCCATGGTGACGAAGTCGCAGGCCGTGCAGCAGATGGAGAACATCCACTGTTCCTTGTCCACGTGGAGCGACATGTGGCTGACAAACTGGACATTGAGCTCAGTCTCAAATCCACATACGTGACAGCTATGCAAAAAGCAGCAAGGGGGCGGGGAAGGGAAGAGTGAGACTCTTACAGGTAAGACTGTGCTACAACCAAGGAAACCGGGGCGTTCACATGCATTTCATTTCCTCGCCACCCAAGGGCATTGCATTAGAAAATTCTCCCATCCTGTGGAATGCCGCTCGAGTGGTCACCATGCCAAATAGATGAGGTGCCAGCATAATGCAGCAATTCCATACATGCCGCAAGAATGCTAATCATCATAAAGTTAATTAAAAAGTACAGATTCCAGATGCTGCACATAGCCTGATTCCTCTGGGCAAAGGGATCGGGCCTTGCCAAGTACTTAGTGCTGGTCCAGTGGTCCCCGCTGGAGTGTCTCCCTCTGCCTCAGGAAAGCACAGAGGTTGTCCAGTGCCACGCCATGCCAGACACAGCCCTGAGAAGCTCCTATCTACCAGTATCTCTATGGCTAAGATTTGGCTGAACCTGGAACTTGGGGCCTCAAAGTGATCAAAATAAAGGTTGATTAAAGGTTGATTATGAAGGATGAAATGGGAATACTGACTTAAGGTTCAGAGCAATCAAGGAACAGTAGGTAACACCTTCTGAGCTCCTTCATGGAGTTTTCGGATTTTGTTTTCCTCATTTTTCTTACACTGTGTGTGTGTGTGCCAGTACTGGGGCTTGAACTCAGGGCCCGAACGCTGTCCCTTAGTGTTTGTGCTCAAGGCTGAGGCTCTTAACTCTTGAGCTACAACTCTACTTTTAGATTTTTAAAAATTAATTAGAGATAAGTTTCATGGACTGTTGCTGTCCCAGGCTGACTTCTAACCGTGGTCCTCAGATCTCAGCCTCCTGAGTAGCTAGGATGACAAGTGTGAGCCAAACCAACTGACCAGCTAACCAAACCCAGAGTCTAGTTACTCTCTGGTGGTTGACTGCACAGCGTGGCCTCCATAACAATTTCTCCTTCAATTTTTCTACCCCAGGCACTGGAGCCAAGGCAGAGCTGGTGTAGGTGCAGAGTTCAATCTAAGCCCGAAACGAGGGCCAGCAATGATTGAGGAAAGGGGCTCTGTGCCATACGGCAGTAGCAGAGGGGAAGGGGGGTTCGCACAGGGACACTGGTCCCAGCTCTACTTACCTGTAATAATACGGGTGTCTCTTCCCATCCCCGCCTTCTGAGGTGACGGCACTGACAATGTCCTCGGCATCGGTGCTGACCAGCTTCACCGAGTGGACGGTCAGGTGCTGGTTCAGGTTCGCACGGCACTTAGCAGCATAGGGGCACAGGTGACATTTGTATTTTCTTTCCTCTAGGGGAGAGGAACAGGAAAAAAAAAAACACCCACATTGCTCTCAAAAATAAAAGTACTACTTGTTTCCTGGCAAGGTTGACTGTTTTTTTCTTTTTTGATTTTTGAAAGGAGTGCCATGGGGGTAAGGGGAGAGGGGTAGACAAATGGAGATGGGGGAGGGGAGGGAGATGCAGGCAAGAATTCAATGCATATTGTACACAATTAAGAAAAGTGAGGAAAGAGGTGGACTGGAGGGGGGCGAGGGTGTGGAAAGGGTGGCAACAATCAAGACGCATCGAATTCGTAAACTGTGTTGTCCAATGGCAACTCCTTTGTATAGCTACTTAAAGATAACTATTTAAAAACTAAGTTTAATGGGTCTTGTATCTAAAATATACTTAGAACTCAAAAAATTAAATCACCCAATAACAAATCCTCAAAGAAACAACTGCCTGATTAATAAGACTTAAAGAGACTTAAAGAGAAACTTCTCTGAAGAGGAAAGAAGGATGGCCAATAGACACGAAGAAATGCTCAACTTCTTTAGCCATAAAAGAAATGCAAATCAAGACAACATCACGATTCCACCTCACCCAGTTAGAATGGCTATAATCAAGAAATCTAGTAACAACAGATGCTGGAGGGAATGTGGCCAGAAGGGAACGCTACTGCATTGTTGGTGGGAGTGTAAACTTATTCAACCACTTTGGTAAGCAGTATGGAAGTTCCTCAAAAGACTCTACATAGAGGTCTCCTATGACACAGAAATCCCACTTTTGGACATTTACCCAAACGATCACAAACAAGGCCATACTAAAGCTACCAGCACAACTATGTTTATCACAGCATTACTCACCATAGCTACAATATGGAACCAACCAGATGACCCTCAGTAGATGAGTGGATCAAGAAAATGTGGTATATATACACAATGGAATTCTATGCCTCCATCAGAAAGAATGACATTGCCCCATTTGTTAGGAAATGGAAAGACTTGGAAAAAAATTATATTAAGTGAATTAAGCCAGGCCCAAAGAAACCTAAGTCCCATGGTTTCCCTTATTTGTATTAACTAGTATATGTCTAGGACAAGCAGGAAAGGTCAAAAGCTATGTATATATGTCCATTTAAGATGATATAAAGCAAAATGAACCCTCAAGATAGGGACACAAGCGGTTTCTTTTCTTTCTTGCTATGTTTTTAATGTATTTATAATGTACCATGTGATTTTTTTTTGTTTCTTTTGTATGTCCTTCCCCATGGTGTAACCCCTGTTTTCACGTATTTGATTCTGGTGCCCTGCATCTTGTATATACATTTTTCTAATTTGGGGAGGAGAAGGGAAATAACAAAATGCTGAAATAAGGATACAGGTTGACCCATTGTAACAATGAGATGTACACGACACTACTTGAAAATGAACTTTAGAAGTTTGAGCTAGGGGGCGGGGGTTGGGGAGGTGGGGAGGAAAGGGATGGTGGGGGAAAAACAAAGGAGGAGGTAACCATTCTTGTTAGAAATTGGACTCATTACCTTACTCATGAAACTGTAACCCCTCTGTACAGTACTTTTACATATATATATATATATATATATGTGTATATATATATATATATATATATGACAACTAAGCTTAAGAAAATAGAAATGACAGTCCTGGTGGGAGATGGTCTAACAGCAGCGCAGCGAGGGAAGCGTGGCTCATCTCCCTGCAGGTGAGGGCAAAGTCACTTCCTGGGGCCGACAGCTCTAAGTCTACCTAGTGGTCTGCACCCCTGTTAGTGCTTCCAAACATAAGAGGAGGACGGATTTCCAGAGCAAGGTTTGGAAGGCAAGGTTTGGCAGTGAGCTGGAAACTTATTTTTGTTTCGTTTTTTAAAATAGTGATCAGACCAAATACTGATACATGGTTGAATACAGCACAAACACAACAACCTGGCAGGGACGAAAGAGCACCACGTGCAGGGATGAAAGCACCACGCGCAGGGACGGGCCCCGGCTTCCTCACTGTCTCCTCAGAGGTCTCCCACTCCCTTTTCCCTGTCCTTGCTTGTTCCACTGTTTTCTCCTGGACATGCACAGCCACTCTTTATCACAACGGGGCCTCACAGGCGGCCAAAGAATACTGTGTGTGAACGTATGTGTATGTGTGCATGCGTGTGTGTAACACATGTCTGTTTACACATGTGCAGGTGTATCAGTGTACTGTGCATGCGTGTATGCACTCATGTGCACGTACATAGGTCTCAGGGCTCACACATGTGTGCATACATATAGGCAATGCATCATATTCATGTCTGTGTTTTCATGTGTGCACACATGTGCATGGGTGTATGTGGATGTATATATGTATGTATACCCACATGTACGTGGATGTGTATATGTTTATGGGCCTGGATATGTGTGCATCTATGTGTGTGTATGTTTTTGTGTCCGCATGTGTTTTTGTCTCCCTACATGTCCATCGCGGGTGAGTCCTGAGCCAGGACTAGAAGAAGCAACTGGAGAGTGAGGTCCAATCACTTTCCCTATGCTCCAGGTCTGGGTCAGTGAAGAAATAAAAACTAATGAAATTAAAGGGGGAAAATGACTCATATAAAATAATTTAATTGGCAATTTTCATCTTGCATAAATAAAATAAAAAAATTTCAATTAATTTCTTAATGGAAATTCACTCATAAAACTGACTAACGTTTTCCGGATGGCTTCCAGAGTTGCATTTTGAATTCATTTGAGTAATCAAGAAAATTGCAGGAGGAGGAGCAGACTTTGCTTTTAATGAACAGATTAAGGTAGCAGAAGCAGCAAACAGCAACTTCATTTTCTTTCTCTAATTCTACCTGGTATTCTGGGCTTGGGTTATAAAAATACCTGCCAGATTTACTTCACAGAAAAGAACATGGTTTAAAAAACCAAGTGTTTCTACAATGAAACATAGAGCATTGCTGTTGTTACAGGTAGTCCCCAGCACCTGCTGAGTGGAAGGAAAGGGAGGACACTTAGGTGCAGGCAGAGTAGAATCATTTCTTTAGAATTCTTGCATTCATATTAGTAATCTGCTGTTACCGAGGCTGACTCAGGACCTCATGTTTGCTCAGCTCTCTTGCTCCTAGTTGGTGCTTTATCACTTGAGCCACACCTCTAGTCTGGCAGTTCTGCTGATTCATTGGAGATGGGAGGAGGACTTTTCTGCCGGGGCTGGCTTTGAACACAATGCTCCAAGTCTTAGTCTCCTGAGTAGCTAGGTAGCCATTGGTGCCTGGCCTAAGTGAGGATCTTGAGTTTTAATATTAACGTTATACTTCTTTAAGTGAACTGGGAGCTTCCTGTTTTGTGCTATCATTTAAAAAGATTCTTTCCAAATTTCCCCTGGTAACTGATTTATTCATTGTGCCTGTCTCTCGGGTCAATTTTGCTGAAAAGGCTTGTCATCTAACTTGTCTGCTTTTTTTTTTTTTAAACACCATGAGTTGTCCTTATTTTTTGATAATTTAAGGTATCATCTGGATTGATGGTTAGCCTTCCTTTGCCTTTTTCTTTCCTACTTTTGAATGTATTTGCTTTATTTTCTTTCTGTCTGTTCTTTCTCCCCTACCCTTGGGCCAGTACTGGGGCCTGAACTCAGAGCCTAAAGCTCTTGCTCAACTTTCTTACTCATCGTCGATGTCCCATTTCCAATTTGGCATGCTGCTGGTTAATTGAAGATGGATTCTCCAGGACTTTTCTGTCCAGGCTGACTTTGAACCCTGAGCCTGAGTAGCTCAGGAGGACAGGCATGAACCACAGCATCTATTCTTTTCTTATTCAGGCTTTAAGGGATTTTGCTTTACTTCTACTTATTGCTGATGTAGATTTTTTGTTTTTTTGGTTGGTTATGGGGCTTGAACTCTGGGCTTAGGTGCTGTCCCTGCACTCTTCAGGTGCTCTACTGCTTGAGCCACAGCACCACTTCTGGTTTTCTAGTGGTTTATTGGAGATAAGAATCTCACGGACTTTCCTGCCCTGGCTGGCTTTGAACCGTAATCCTCAGATCTCAGCCTCCTGAGTAGCTAGGATTACAAGCGTGAGCCACCAGTGCCCAGCTTGTAGAGTTTTTTGGTTGTTTTACCAGTTTCTTAAGATGAGTGCCAAGTTCCTTTAGTTTTTGCCTCTCTCTCTTCTAATTTGTCTCATTTTTTTTTTCCCTCTGACTAGAGTGATAGCTGTTTTGGCTGGAGGCTTGAATCGCTCTTTATTCCTTCTAGATGTCTGGTGCTTGAATTTTGATTTTCCTCTTTTAATTGGTCCAATTAAGCAGGTATTTTATTGATCCTCAGTTTAAATTTCACTTACTTATACTCAGAGAATGTGGCCTGTAAAACTTCCACTTAAAAAAATACATTAACAGGTTTCCTTGTGGCTCAGTATATGACTAAATTTTATCTTTAGTGGAATTTAAGATTAAAAATATAAAGAAGATCCTAATGAATCTTGTCATATTAATGCTTTCTTTATTTTGTACAATGTAAAAAATTTTATTTTGAATTTTTGTTCACCTTGTGCTTGTGGGTGGAGGAGGGGGGTTTGCTGTAGCGCTCAGACTGGCCTTAAACTTGTGATTCTTTGGCTTCAGTCTCCTGAATGCTGGATTGTAGATACACACTACCATACCAAGCAACCTTGGTTATTTTGTCTGTCTGTCTGTCTATCTATCTATCTATCTATCTATCTAGGTGAGTGTGCTTCCTATAAATAAGATATAGCTGGGTATTTTAAAAGTCTGGGTTTCCCCATGATAACTGAAATACTTGATTTTATCACTTCATTTGTTTGCTGTTGGGGATTGAACCCCAGGAATTCCACACACTAAGGAGACACTTTAGCACTGAGCTATAGCACATATCCCCTAGACATACTTTTTCTTGCTTTACACTCAGCGTTGGTTTTACCTCACCTCACCTCTTTTCATCTTCACTTATTTTTAGTAGTTATCTCACTACTCATTCCTTCTTACTGTTTGTTAACTTGGTTGCCTTGTTATTCCTCTAACCCTTAGAATCAACCTTTATACATTCATAGAACTAAAGGCAAAAAACTGCTATGTAAAGGTGGTCCCCCATCCCTTCCCACTACAATAGCATAAAAGCACAGAACCATGGGATGCAGGCCATTCTCTGAGGCTTTAAGACGGAAATCATAGAGGTCAGGATTTTCACTCTGATCTGTCCAAATGTGTTATTCTTTCCCACTCAAACTCAACAAGCCCTTTCAATACACAAGAACAGCCTTTTCCTGGGCCTTGTGTACACAGGCCAAGCAGCAGGCCTTGCCAAGGTCAGGAGGGACAAGTTCCATCACTTCCTGTGGCAAGTCCCTCAGAGAAACTCCACTTCTGGCCAGGGCAGAGGTTCGTGACAGAGGGCCAAGGTGAAGTGGCTGCGGTCCTAACTCACCTGTGTGCAGCGAGAGGTGTCGGGACAGCGTCTGCTGTCGGCCAAACACTTTCCCACACACGTCACAGGGAAAGAGCTGGTCATTGAACTTCCAGGATGGCAATCCATTTCCAGCCTCCAGGACGATCTTTTCTGTTTCTGGGCAAAAAGAAGAGAGCACTGTGAGAAACGATTGAGTCGTGAATCCGTGTCACTTGGGCCCATCTAGGTATACAGCAGAGGCTCCCAAGCCGAATGTGGCTGGTGCCCATCTTCATTTATGTCCTTTCTCTTAAGATCGTTCGTGAAAGCTGAGGAGGCAAAGGGATTCCAACTCCAGCTGAGCATCCTCTTCCATGGCTACAGGTCACAGCGCAGCCTGACCCATCTAACACCACATACTTACCCATACTTGATGAGCGAGAAAGTGGTTGAGTTGCATGTTAAATTTTTTCTAAGTGCAGATTCTTGGTACAGATAGAAAATAAAGTATGCTAAAGAAAGCACTTTCTCTGGTCTTTTTGATGACTCCCTCCTTTCATTCCATATTGTACAAAAATGCCTGCTGCTCCACATCAAACTTTCTAATGCAAGAAAGTACAGCTAGAATTTCCCCCAAAGCCTCACACTGTAAAAAAAAAAGTAAGTGCCACGAGTTATCTGCACATAATTCATAGCCTTGATTGAACTAAGTAGACAGGGATACACGTTACCATCTTAGAACATTTTTATTTTCTTACAGTCATCTCTAGGATGATCTGACCCATACCTCTTTTTCAATGAACTGCAGTGGGTCATGCAACTGTCCCTATCAATAATGTTAGGAAATAGGTGACAGATGGAGTGCCACAAAGAGGGAAGGGGGCAGTTCCATGGAGACACTTGTTTGAGTGTCAGTTAAGAACAAGACAGGCAATGCACTGACTTCTCATCTTGTCCTTTACAGCAGTAAATTCTATCTTTGTAAATCCCAGGTCTACTGTAGAACCAAGCTCCACATGGCAGCAAGTAAATGGTGTTAGAACTTTCCTGAAGATCCAAGCAGGCACACTGGTCAGAGATGACATCAGCAGAAAGAACCCAACTTCACACCATTTGGCTAACGCTACTTCCCAGACACACACTCCCCCTGTATTTGGATGAGCCAACTGGATCAATCTCACTTGAATAAGACTTGCCAGATAGCCTAATCTGAGGAAAGGAGGAACAAATACAACTGTTCATTTGGAAAGGGCAGAAAGGGAATGATGGTGAAATTTCAGTAATGTTTGTTGTGAGGCACCTGCCAACAATTCCAACACTGATAAAACACATTTATCGATTGGTCTGTGTTTGTTAAAAGGCAGCTCTTTGGGCCTTAAGGGAGAAGAGCCAGTTGTATTAAAGCAGGAATGTGTGACTAAAATCTGCAAGGCAAGGTGGTGGAGCAATGGGGAGGAGAGGAGGGAGAAAGGGAGGGGGATGCAGGTAGACCTTCTGAATTTAAGAACTACTCTTCTATGACTTCACTGTCTGGTCCAGTGGTGGACAGTGCAACCACGTAGCATCAAGAGGGTATTATAAAGTAGTTCCTTTTAAGTGTGTAATCAACACAGCACTTCCAAGGAGGGTGAGAGTAATAATTATAAAAGAGAGGTTAAGAGGGTACAGGGTCTTCTAATACATTCACAAGAATGAGTTAATTGGGTCACAGACCCAACAAGTAGATACAATTAAAAATGAAGAAGTCTCTTAATAATTCTTTCAAGTGTTAGTCATGTACTTGAGAAGCTGAAGCATCATAAAGAGTACAATTCGTTCCACAGCCTTAGAAAGTGATGAAAACTACTAGACAGTGCTTCCTCCCTTCTTTTTCTCTTCCCCTCCCTCCCTCTCTCCCTCTTTGCACCAGGCATTAAATGCAGGACCTTGTTCATGCTAGGTAAAGTTCCACCACTGAGCTATATACCTCTAACTAAGGCATTGTTTTCTGTGAAGCAGACAGGTTGTACAAGATGGAGCACTTTCACCTCGATGGTACTGCTGGAAGAGGAGGATCAGTGCTGGAAGAATCAGACACTATCAATGCAAATCTCCCAGCTCTTTCCATTGATAGTGAACCCAGGCTCCTTTCTTATAATGCAGAAGTCTAACTGGCAAAGACACAGCATGAGAAACTATGCTTCTCAATACCTAGTGATCAAAGGGGGCAAGTCTCATTTCATGCATGAAACTTGGGAAGATAAAAGCCATCAAATCAAGCATACCTCCAAAACTTTCCACAAAATACACCCATCTGGTAGAATTTGGAGGAAGCATGACCAAACTCTGCTTGTTAGAACATCAATGCTTCCATTTGCAAAGGACAAAATGACGGGTTCATTCCAAGTCTTCTCTCACCAGAGTCCCCTACAGTTGTGTAAGGTTGAGAATAGTTTCCACACTGCCTAAGTTTCTAACCTGCCCCAAACCTTGGTTCAAAAGGGTGCCTGAACCACATCTCTTCTTATATATAAGGAAACTGAGGCGGAGATGATGGAGCATGGTCTTATTACACAAATGAGCCACACAAAATGAAAAGTAAAGGCTATGGTAAACAGAGCAGCTATTTCTTTTCTAAGAGAGTGCTGGCTCTTAGATGCTTAGATATATATTCTTAGATTCCAAGTGGACAGATGCAGATTTCGCGACAATTCACAGATATTAGGATTTTTCTCCCTCTCTTTTTTTTGAAAAAGAGAGGGGAACCTGTGATAGTTCCAGGCTTGAAGAAATGGGAACCCATCACAGGTCACAAGTTAGGACAAAGGACGATCAAGAGGAAGATCAAATGAGAACACCCTAAAAAGGAACTCTCTCTGGAATAAACTAGTTGCTATCCAAGAATGCTCCCCTGGCTCTTCCTTACCATCTGGGGTGTGTCTGGTAATAAACAAGCAAACAAAACTTTCCCAAACACAGCTCAAAACAAGAGGCCAAGGAAGGCACTTGGTTGGCTTCTGCTCATCTGGTGCACTGTATTGTGGGAAGGGACCCCACATTCTCTTATACGCCTCTCCAAGCACTACCTCCCAACCTAGCTTTGGCAAGAAAACCGCTGAGAAAGGAAGCTTCATTTGGTTAAAGCTGTGAGCAATATATTAGCCAAAATATGACCTCAACCCATAAATAACTGATCCACAGACACGACATCGGCCAACCACGGAGGAAGATGCTCCCTGCCACTGGGTCTCCATGGTGACATCGTGTATCTGGATCCATTTTCTTTCATCATCAAGGCTTGCAAAGCTTTTGAGATGTGACTCACGTGAGATTCGGAAACCTTACCTATCAGGTCATCTTCCATGTAGCTCATGGAACTTTCTAGAAACCTCACCTGCCGAGAGGCACTACTGAAGAGTCAGCTGTGTCTTGGGCCTCTTTGGTGCTTATTGCCATTCCAGTACTTGCAGTTCTTTTAAAATAGTTTTAAAAATATTTTTAAGGGCCATTTCAATTTAGGGTAACTTTTCAATCTTTAGCTGTTTAGCTCAGGTCTATCTTGCAGCATGGGGACCAGCCAAATGCAGATGGCAGGCGGGGTGGCCTTCCCACTTAGCACTAGTGACCCTGCACAAGATGGTGGGGGTGGAGTTCACGGCTGCTCCAAGGTCCCCTGGGGCCATTGCTTACAGCTCTCAGTGCAACCACTTTCCTCCTGAAGGATCAGTTCAGATGTTCTCTCAGATTGGGATAGTTTTGCTTGTGGAGATGAACTGCTAAGATAGAATTTAGCAATTGTTTATTATTTTGGGGGGAGATTAATATGTGAGCGACTAAAAACACTGGATGGAGATTGTCAGACATAAAAGAGTTCACAGCTTTGATCATCTTTGGTCTCATTTCAAACTTTAATGCTTAGCAAATTTAGCAAAGTAGACTCCTGTGTCACTACTTCTGGACACTGCACGCCCAGGTTCTGGGGAGACAAATTGTCAAGCATGTCTCCAAAATGGTTCAGGAAATGACACCCTTTGGTCAAGTCCAGAAGGGAGCTCTATCAAACTCTCTTGGTCAGAACAAGCAGAGCACTCGGGTATCTGCAACCAAATCATTCATTTTTGCGAGGCAAAAAAAAAGCATAAAGTGCAGACCTCTCCCACCCCACGCACCCCACAACACACAGGGCTGAGAGCAGTTTCCATAGTAACTAAGTCTCCATCCTGCTTCCAGCTAGGTACAAAGAACCTGAGCTGCCATCGAGTTCCATGTTCTCTCACACACAAGGAGCAGGATGCGGAGAGAGCGTGGGTGACTGTCCGGGGTAACCTGGCTAGAGGCTGGCGGAGTGCAGGCTGACCCATGGACTCAGTCAAGCTCCTTCAAGCTATAAGCCAGTGCCAAAGTCAACAACAAACAGGACTCTGTGCAGTTGGTTCTCAGCAATGAGACTGCCTTGCAGCAGCATCTCAGGAAAGCTGGCTGGTAGCTTTTGCTCAGTGCTGGGCGATGGACCCCAATGAGCAAGTGCTCATGGCTGATTCTTATCTGTTAAGCTGGAGAAGAACCATGAAACCACGTTGCTGTTTTGCTGGGTAAACTTCCCTCCCTTCCCTCCTTCCTTCCTTCCTTTCTTCCTTTATTATTTTTTCCTCTTCCTCCCTCCTCTCCTTGCCCTCCGCCTCCTCCTCTTCCTTCTCCCCCGCTTCCCCCTCCTCGAAAAGGGCTTGGATGAAACCGAGGCTGGCCTCAAACTTTCAACATTCCTGGTTTGGCCTCTTGAGCTTCCTTACTTTTTTTGTCTCTTCATGGTAGCAAAATCCTGTATCACCATCTCACAAAGTAATTTAAAAAATACAAGTCAGGCATGGAAATTGTGTCGTTTCTGGCAGACACTGATGGCCACTTAATACACACCAGAATTGCTTTTTTTTAGGGTGGCACCATGCCCAGTCACACACGCAGATCTATCTTTCCAATTCGGTCACTGACAGGGACTGGTCATGAAACCCAATTCTGGACGATGAGACGTGTGCAGAAGTTCCTTCCCAGAGATGTTCTGGCTCCCCCAACCACTCAAATCCCCAAAATATAGTCTTGTAAAAAGGCGTTGCCTTTGCCCCTGGGCTTTCCCTGCCGTGGCTGTCTGGAGGTGAACAGCTGCCTTTCAACTATGAGCTGGAAGCCGTGGATAATGGTGG